GTGGGGGTGTTAGACATTGATCTACCAATCTTTAGTCCCGAGCAAGCTCTCAAGCCAGTCCCTTTGCTTCGCAAAGCAAACTCAAGGTAGCCCTTACCAGGCTACCTTTCGTGACATGACTAGGCACTCATTTTCTCCCGAACAGCTTATGACCAAAGATTGTCCAAGTGGAGCAGGCAATCCTACTCATGACATTCAGCCCAAAAGAGTTGCAATTCAACGAATTTAGAGGTTTCTCAAAAACCCATTTGACCTACTTTCTGTGCGTTTGCAGGTTTTTGATTGCGTTTTGAGGGTTTTTGCGGGCGTTTTGCGGGTAAAACTGGTCGTGGGTTTTCATCAAATTCTGGCTCCAAAACCTCAGAATAACATTAAGTGCTTTCCACTCCATGTAGGTCTTCAGAGGTCACAGCCTGGGCATGAACAGACAGATGTTTTTGTCAACTCCTCATTTGTCGTGGTGACATCAATGTATCTATTATATATCGAATCAACCCTGCCATTGACCAAGGATGACCTTATTGCAGCCCTGTAGCCAGTTTTTTCTCATTTCTTTGTACATATCCTGCATCACATCTTGCAATTCCACCGGAATTCGAAGTCGTTCATTATATAATAATAAAGGTAAATGAACACACTTGGCAGCTGGGCATTAATCCAGTTATCGTCATCAAGAAGGCCGCCCAAAAAAAAACAAAAACTTGAAGGTCGGCCTTTGCCGGGTCGATGATGACTGGCGTTTTCCACTGCGTCCAATGGGATGGCTGATGGATGGATGGGTTGATAAATACGGAAGTCATCCCCTAAATATAGATGTGTGATAGCCGGTGATGGCTACTCGGATCAAAACCTGTGGAGCATACCCAAATCACTCCGCTAAGCAAAAATCAGTCGTTTCTGACAACTACCTTTTTTTCCATCGAAGCATCAGAAACTAATACAACAACCCAATCGTACTAGAATATGTTAGCCGTTGGAAGGTCTAGGTAGAACAATTAATGGAACATGATAGAACTATATATAGCACCCAGGCTCCAAAGCGCACATAGCCACACATCTGGCAGCGGCACTCTGCAGCAGCACCAGCACTCAGGCTCCAAAGCGCACAAGCACATCTTCCTATTTTTTTTAAATAAAGACACAAATATCTGGGAAAAGTTGTGTTCGGCGACTCTGGATATGGGGTGTTCGCTATATTTGATGATTTCTGTTATCGTTGGGGGTATCGAAAAAGCATCGTTTGGGGTATCGTTTTCCATGTGCGACAACAAATGCCCTTCTCTGGTATCGTTTTTCAGGGTTCCCATCGTGTTTACAAAGAAAAACACGTTCTTGGACATTCCACGGCGACTTATGTAACGAACGCATACGAACGCTTCATCGCGTGGTTTGGCCCTTGCACATCTACTAGGTGATACTAGGTGCATGCAGGTGGGTGGCAAAACCCATGCGGCTGATCCACGTGCAAAAGGTACTGGCTGGTCTTTGTTGACGTGTTCTGAGTTCTGTTTGTGGGTATAAAAGTGTCCCATGGTGTCCCTATATGTGCTGGCTTCGGTGCAAAAAACACTGGCGACCAATAGAACAATGTCCGTTCGCGGCACTGTCGTTCTTCGGTACATTCTGCTGGTGACCCACTTTACATCTCGCACGTTTCCATCACTGCTGAATTGGTCCACGTTCTCGCGCTCCGCTCCTGAGACGTTTTAATAGGCGCTTTCCGCGTTTCCGCAGGGCTCAAGAGAAACCCATCTGACCTCTGAGCGCACCCCAACTGACATCTGGCTCACCCCATCGGGCATCTGGCTTCAACGTTTGCTTTCAACTTGCATACACCATTTAGTTCACCCTTCTACGCCACTTCACTTCGTCCGCCACTTCACGTCTATGCCCACGACGTGCTTCGTTCGTCCAAACATGAAAGCAACAAATACAAACACACATCATCACACGCATCTATAATCATCTATATCAAACAGCATGGCACTGGCTTCGTGACTCGTGCTTTCTTTTATGGGGGCGGCCCGTGGTCTACGGCTATGGACAATGTGTGACAATTGTACACTTAGATTGGCTTAAGAATTCCAGGAACATAGAAAAAAAGAAAGGAATTTTTAGTAACCATTTTCACAATAGCGCAGCACCCTTAGGGTAAATCGCCCAAAACCACTCCAAGGGGAAGCATCCCGAAGCCAAACCCCGGCAAAGCGGCGCTGTGATCGCTCCTTCGGTGCTTCTCCGGGGGGGGCAGAGGGTGCTGTGAGGCAGTGCCAAGCGCAATCCTCCAACAAAAACCTCATCTCCTCACCGGATGCTTTCAGCAGGTAACAGCGAAGCCCCTGAGTTGGGCAGGGGTGCGGACGGCAGCATGCAAGCATGGCAAGCATGTAGTCATGCACGTCATGCACGTCAACGTGTTGGGTCGACCTGGCCTCCTGACGTGTCAGGTCAACCGAGGATGACCAACTCCACCAGAGAAAGACATGCCACAGATTGCCACGCGGCCGAAGAATCTGCTTCACGGCGAAGGGAGACCATCCGGTTCGAGATGGGTGAGGAGGATCGACTATAGGCTCTGCACCGGGACTGGCTCCGGGCGCATGACTCCGTGGCCAAGAGCAGTTGGTGAGAGGTCTGGCGTCGGGTGTTTTTCCACAGTGAAAGGTCTCACAGTGCTTCTGAAACAAATCGAAAGCCTTTCGGGAAGGTCTGCCGTCTCGTACATTCATAGCATCAATATGCATCAATTATCCATTGTTGCGGGTCCTAGTAGGTGGTCCCAAATCTCATCCCATCTACGGAACAAAACCGCTTTCTCGATGTCGCATCGCACGGCGGCCCAAACCAGCCGCCTCAAATGCCCTCAAACGCGAGTAGAAAGCCTTTTCAGAATAGAAGAGAACACGTGCCAAGCCACGAAAGCGGCGGAACGAAGCTCCCAGGCTCCGTTATTCGAAGGCGGCGGACGTTGGGAGACACTCGACGGCCGTTTTTGTTCGCCCGACGAAGAAATAGTAACAAGGAGGGCGATGCAGTAGGTTGGAGGCCATCGCGGTCAGTAGGTTGGAGGCCTTGGCTATAACAAGAAGCATCCAAAGCAATTCCAACTGTCGGTAGCAACTGCCGACTCTGCAGACCCATCGACTCGACGAAGTCGAAGCGAGTAGAGTCCGCTTCGTGTGCAACGAGAGGAGCGCTGCTCCGTCGATCGCAAGACCAGGGGCGGACATCGAACGGGGCGCAGGTTGGAGGGTCTCACGCCTAAGGGGTTCTTTTGCGAAGGAGCACACAGGCAGGACCGCTATAGATGTTTACACTTGGCAGCATGAAGAAATGCGAGGAAACATTGTATCGTCTATCAGAATTCGGTAGGAGCATCAAGTAAGACTCTCAACTTGCTTAGGGGGCATAGCTCGACTGAACTTCATGCTCTGAACATTCCTTTTCTCCTTCCATCTCCGCAGCATACTTCGAGCAGGCGATCTCAGGCTGGTGGCTGGAAAGACAGACAGCCCTTTCAATATCTTTCAACCGCTGTTCAAGCAGGACAAACAGAGTTGCATGTCTGTGAAATCAACTCGTAGACTTCCCTTCGCTTGGGCTTCATCTGCCGTCCTTCTCCACCCGCCCGCTCCGCTCGTGAAGCAGGTGTCGCCTGAACCGACTGGTCGTCCGACGGGACGCTCCGTCCTCACTTCTCGTGGGCCAAGACCACCTGAACCGTGGCGCTCGGTCCTCACCTCACCTCTCGGGCGAATCTGCCGTGCTCCACAGAGATGCTTTGGAGGGTTAGCATGTTTTTGGTTCACCCTATATAAGGAGATCAGTGATTTCTGGAGACACCTATCCAACCATGGATAGCAGGGACCGGACGTATGTGGAAAATGCAAGGATGAGTTCGGTCTATGGACCGCCCGGTATCTTCCATTGTGAAACTTCCAGAAACGGATCTTCCAGGCTTGCATATGTCGTTCCTACCATACCCAGACCATCCATGTATAGTTACCTACATTGGGGTCTTAAATGGGGTAGCTTATGGTAAATCATGTATATAACTCTTCCATTCTTCCATACACGGGTGGTCTGGGATATGCAAGAACAAAGATCAGCGCGCACCGGCGCACCTCGAGCGTCATGTCCAACCTTCAGAGCGATCAGAGTCCCTATGAACGAATTCATATGAGCTCTCGGCTCTCGGACACCAATTCCAAGAACCAGTCCACATCTCCTTCAACACCCCAAAAGAATCCAAAAGATATGATTGATGTGTTCAACATCAATTCGGGGAGTGAATCCAATCTAACTTGATTGAGAACCATCTTCTACAACCCCTTCCCATCATTCTACAACCCAGCTCCGCTCCTCTTCGCCGTCACCAGCGGCACCGGGTCTCTGCCGTCACACCGGTTTTTTACCCTGTCGCCCCCCTCTCACCCTGCCAGTCTGGGCGTTCGCGCCACGTGCCCCAGCTTGGAGCTGCGCAGCTGCGAGGCATAGCTCACCGGCTCCGCCGGTAGAGGCCTGGGAATCGACGCGGAGCAGCTGCGGGGCACGCGGGGCACGCGGGGCACGCGTGCGTCGGACCTGGTTCGAACGCACCGGGGTGGAGATCCGTGGCGGAGTGCCAAAACATAGAGGTGGCAGTGATGAAGTCAGGTGTTGAACCCAAACTTTGATGGTTGATGCTTTTATGGTGCTTTTAGGATCTTTTAGGATGAATAGAGTGATTGAACTGCATGTCTGTTGTTTCTTGTGTTTTCAGGTCTTGTTGGGGATGTGGATCGTCTTGAATGGTCAAACCACACAAATCCAGTAGGATGTCCCAAGAAAATACGCATGTCAGTTGACTTTCATGGAATGGTTGTTTCAAACAAGTAGTATAGCACTATCCGGAACACCACACCAGGAGTTGCTGATCTCATGCGAACATATTCACATATATTCAGTGTGTACCCCAAGGATAATGCTTGCAAGGCCGGGCTTTGCAGCGCTGGCTTTGCAGCACACTTTTCTCTTGTTAGAAGTCGCGCATAGTGTGCGCTTATCAGTAAAGAACACCTGCAAACACTAGGACACTTTGTCCAAGAGTGTTGAGAAATCTTGAGAGTACAGTTTGAACATAACATAACACATCATTAAGCACAAAAAAAACTACTGGCTGAGCTGTACTAATTAATGTCATATATCATATGTATCTATCCATCATATTATGATATTATATGTCACATATGTCTATTACTATATGTCACATAGTCATATATTAAATATATTATAATTACAATATACCAGGACCCTCCAAGGGGTGCCCTGTCTGCCGGTAGTGTGGGGTAGTCCATTGGACACCCCTTGGAGGGTCCAGGTATGTTAATTTAATATCTTATACCAGCAGTCACAAAGGGGTGCTGGTAAAGGTTAGGTTAGGGGTGCCCAGAACATCCACTCACTTGGAGACTTTAAACACCACCCCTTTGTGACTCCTGGTATAGTAATCTTTGTTATATTACTTACACGTATCTCACACCACCACACCGACTCACTCCACTCCACCGACCACCCAAGCACGGCGTCGGTCCAAACACGGCGTCCGGGCGTGCCGCAGCGCTGCCGAAAGCGCTCCCAGAGGCCCTGCTGCGCCAAGCCCAAGGTGCACACCTCGAATCCGAGAAATCGGTGGGTTTAGGGTTTAGGTGGGGAAGGTTTGATCTTGGACGTTGGTGAGACACTTCTACTGCAGGTGTGTGTTTTTGTTTCCCTTTGCGATTTGGCGAGCGGTTTCTGCACCACGGTAGATCTCATCTTCCAAGCGACCACTTCTTCACGAAGTTCGATCCATCCACCACCAGCAGCCATCGGAGTGTTGGGTGCCGGTTCCGACCGAACGGAGCCTTCGTTCCAGTCCCCTCCACCGTTCGCCTTTCGTTCACGGTGGCGGTGGATACGTCTGCTTTGATCCGTCACGCTCTGTGGTGTGCTTCGCCCGGTCGGAGTTTCCCCATGGTGCCACGAGTCACTTAACACACAGAGAGCTCGGGGTGCCGGTGCCGAACGGAGAAGACAGGCGAACTTCGGGGTTTTTAGAAGATCCACTCACTGGATGGGACTAGAAACCACCCCACTCCATGTGGAAAACCCTGGTTGCAGGATGTTTGCTTGACAGATTTGGGATGATTTGGGTTTCCTTATTTGAGCTGGTCATGAATTGCTCCCCCTGTTTCACTCGGTCGAGGACATCGGACTTCAATTTATAAGCTGTGGGTCAAGACCCAAAAATACCTGGTCCTACCTGCAGTGTCAGTCGTTTGCTACATGCTGAAACGGGCTCAAGTGTTTGACACTGTGTTCGACCCATCATGACTTCTCTGTCGAACGCTTCCTCTCCCTCCCCTTGCTTCCCCCCAAGACCCCCGGCCGTCGCCCGGCGCTTGCCCGTGGGCGCCGGCAGCGCGCTGCGGGAGAGGCCGTGCTCTGCGGCGAGGCCGTGCTCGGCGTCGAGCCCGAGCTCGCAGGCACGGGCGCCTCGGACGAGACCATTGGGGTTCTCCCAAGTCTGGTGCAAGGGGAGGGTGGTGGGTCAAGTATCATGAGAATAAAAAGCTGGGTGATGCGACTACGAAACCACCATCGCCATCTCAAGTCATATCTAAAACATTCTAAAACAATAACATCATATGTTGATGGCCATCTCATATCATCTCATATGGTCCATGTTCCATCCAACACACTCATAGCCAGTCTGATCTAACTTTTTGACCGTCCCATCAACTCCATCCAAAAGACTGATGAAGCATACGACTTTGGAGCCAAAAGGATTATTGGATGATATTATTTTTCAGTCCAAAAACCTTACTTGATCCTTATACTTTTATAGCCGATTCAAACGGTGAATCCAATCTTCCAAGCATTTAGAAGCCTTCAACCTTCCTGGAAACCGTGCAACTCGTTCCAACTGGGCTATGGGCCTTCCTGGTCCCCTGGTTTCGAGTCCTGCGAAGCGGACGTCCCGAGGTCACGGCTGGCGTCACAGGGCGAGCTCAGCGGATGCTCCTCAGGAGAGGCGAGAGGCGGATGAGGAGGATTTTGTTTGTGTGATCTGGGGGAGGAGGTTTGATGGTTTTCTTCCTGTGTGCTTCGGAACAGCGTTGCGATGTGGTTGGCTGTTTGCTGGGCTGCGGGGCGCACCGGCTGCGGGGGGGAGAAGAGAGGGAAAACCGGTGTGCCTCCTCCGGGCCTCCCGTTTTCTTTCCGTTGAAGTTCGAGGACCTGCAGGCCATTGTTAAGGTGACGAACTCAAACCCATCAGGGATGTTTTTTTTGTGGGAGGGAGCTGCAAATGATCACTCTATGTAACAAGCGAATGGGAAAATGAAGACACATTGACAGGTTCCACTATGGGCTCAAACAATAATAAGACATAATAAGACTATACCTACGGGTTTGCGGAATCCAACAAAAAAAAACACTGGTCGTCGTTGAAGGTCCTAACAGGAGCGGATTGTGGCCCTTAATTGGTGAATAATAGCATGTGAAGAGCTGACCAATAGGACCCATACCTGGACCCTGCAACAGGTGTTTCTTGGTGACATGTGTCCATTAAAAAACATCTTAGATCCTCTTAGGTTTCAAACACATCCAAACACCACCTCTTGGAAGGTCCTGGTACCGAATGCAGGAACACCTATTATATAGGACTGCTGGTCTCACCACCTGACCTGGGTTCCCATGCTACCGTCCATCTGCTCCACACGGGCTTCGCCTCAAACTAAACGCCACCCATCGGGGTCACCCATGGTCCAGCGAGAGAGCAGGTGGCCGAGCAGGTGGCCGAGCGTGGTCAATGGTGGGCAATAACGGGGTATGGATTAACCAAATGGGATCATACGGGATTATATATGTGTGAATCTATGTCGATGTTCTGGTATCTAATCCATCTGCTTGCATCATATTTCATCTGATGGCTGTGGGTGAAGGCCCAACAGCAAACAAAGCCTCGAAGGTACATTGGGACTCAAACCTCATAAAACCTCTCCCTCAGTCCTTCCCAGTTTTCTGAAAGCTTCGTGGTTTGCCATGGGACTGCCATCGCCATACGAGTCTATCTGCATACGACGAAAAGAGTCGGTCTCCCCAGTTCATTGCGAGACTCGACCGCATGCGACTCCACCAGGCCTATTGAAAGTCCATGATGTGTGTTGTGAAGTTCCAAATACAGTAATTAGATAGAAACGGTTTCCAAAACATGCTTAGGATGATCCGGGTGATCTACTCGTCTTATCTATTTGGGGGTCTATATTTGATATCTATGTGTTGTGAAGTTCAAGTATTCAACACGGCATCAAAAAGCGACATCCCAGGCCTTCCCGCGCCCCTCAGCATAGAAACACGGGTCCACTGGAGGGTTGAGATGGGTCAAAGCTCACTGACCCATCTCATTGGCCACCCTCCCTGTGGAGCTGGCATACCTAGTTTCTCTTCCCTTCCGGACACCGACCAACTCCTGACCGTCCGACCCTTCCCACGCCTGGCCCTTCTCGGCGCCGCCTGGAGGTGGGAGTTGGGGGATGAAACGAAAGACGATCCATGCGCGACTCTGCACCTCACGGTGCAGCTGGAGCCTGGTGACTGTGACCTCTTTTCAGGACCATAGGAGCAACCCCCCCCCTGGAGCGCCCCTTCAAGCGCCCATCTCTAGAGCCCAAAAGCCAAGGGGCCCCACTTGGTCTGCTGCAGTGTCTCACTGTGACCACCCCCACCAGCCCATCTCTCTCGCTCGTGCCAGCGCCTGTCTTCGGCCGAATGCCCAAGCTGTGAAGCTTCTCCAGCATCGTCTGGCTCAAACCCGAGGAGACCAAACGCACATTCCGAAGGCCTTGGTGGACCATTTGGGTGGCGAGTTTCCTGGCCCGCGGGTGCAAAGTAATTAGTGCGACATGCAGCACGTGCAAACGACCGCTGAATGGGAAGAAATGCATCACCACACAAGTCCAACGCTCCAGCTGGGCTACACATTGTGGTCGCAGCAGTCTCAAACAAGTGTGAGTGAGTACCTAGTTCTTCGCGCTCACCATCGAGGCCCCCTCTTCAATCCCTTGCAAATCAGCAACACAAATCTAAGACCAACAGTTCTGTTAGAATGAACATCACCCTCAAACAAGTCATGAAGAAAGTGTTCATCCCTCGACCTAAGCCTATGGGTTCATCCGATGCCATGATTGCCATGCAACCTTTTGTGGGTCGAACCCTCCCAACCACCTGAGGCTTCCCGGCGCTCGGACGCCGTGGGCGCCGGTGGCAGCGGTTCCTCCACCGGGGCGGCGCCAGCTCCACCGGGGGTTCCGGCCAGATCCAGCGGGGCAGCACCTGGGAAGGGACAGGGGAAGAGACAGGGATGGAGCGAAGGAAGCAGGCACCTGGCAGTGAACTGAACACCGTGTTTGAGCTTAGTTTGGAGGTGCTTCCGGAATTTCTTCGAGTTTGGGGAGCAAATCAGGACACCATCTGTGCAGCCCCTGTTCAAGGATCCGTCCGAAGACCGAAGACTGCAGTGGTTGAAACTGCTAACTCTTCACAGCAACAAACAATGCATTCTCTTGGTCCCAAATCCTCCAAGGACTCTTGAAAAAAAACAACATGTGAACCACCACTGCAAAAATAAACATGAGGCAAGGCTCTGACATGGGAGGATCATTTTTTCAAAACCGTTTGTGCTCTTCCCCCCTGTTGATCTCTGTGAGATCTCCCAGCCTGCGATACCACTGGAAGCACTGTGGCCATTCTCTACCGCTGGCCTCGGGTCGATTTTTTCATCGGTCGCCGTGGACGGCGATGCACCGGACCTGGAGGTGTTGGTTCGATCCACGCGTAGTATGGCTTATGTTTTTTGAAAACCGCTTGGAAGGTTTAGCGTGTACTGGATTGTTCATGGAATAGCTACGTAAATATCCCACACTTGAGAGCCAAATAGAGAGCCCACTTGAGCCAAACACTCACAACAAGAGTGAGAAGTAAACCACCAAACCATCCGAAGGGGCCCTTCACTACCAAATCCTCCGAAACACAGCTCCACTCCCTGCAATCCCAGTGACGTGGACGCCTCGAAGGGGCCCTTCTCATAGCTTGGGCCGACCCAATGCGTCGGAGGGCCTCGTCGCCGATGCCGGGAGGGGATCCAACTGGGAGGTCTCCCTACTGAAGAACCAGTTTTCAACCGATGTCCCACGAAACTTCGGCATGGATCCTACTCAAGACTCTCGGTGTGGAGCGGTCGGTTTGGAGCAGTCGACCGGTGGCACGCCTGTCCAGCTGGGCGCCGGTGGTGTCCAAGTGCCTGTGCCGGTGGTTGAAGCGCGGCGGATGGATGGTCATAATTCCACCCCATGTACTCATGCGTGTCATGCACCAACCCATGTGCGAGATGCAATGACCAGAACATGAAGCATAATGAAGCATATAGTTACTGCGCAAGAATTTGAGCTGGCCAGCAAAAGCCCAGCCCCAGCACACCCAAGATGATCTTTTGGAGGCGTCCCAAACCCTAAAACCAAGTGCTCTAGCAATGCATTGTTGTGCCCCTCGACAGAGAAGGAGTTGTGAACGGACAATCCGATTCTTGATTCATGCTCAAGTTGAAGTTGTTTTGTGAACATTTGTGAACTACAAGCACTTGAAGAAGTTCTGATTGGATGCCCGTACCTGAAACTTCCCACCGTGTGCCACGACGCTACGTTCATGGATGGGAGGGGAAGGCTGATCACCTTCCTGTATCTGCAGTTTGTGAATGTTGGGCTCCGTGCACCTTTGGCCTCTTGGGCCTCGAACCTTGACCTTCAGGATGCTCAAACTGTATACATGTTTTACTCAGGACCTTTTTTCACCTAAGCATACCTAAGCTGCCGTGTGGCATGAGGCATTCAGTGCAGTACGCATTTCCCGACTTTGTGTTCAAACCTGCAGCGTGAACACCATCTTTTGGAGTCACAGCCTTTGAGTTGAGTCTCCGGATGTTTCTATAGTTTTCTATTTTCTCAAATTCCACGGGCATTTTTACCCGCACGTGTTTTTTCAGTGGATGTTTGTTTCGGGTGCGGATGTTATTTGTGTGTTTCAAAGACCCCAAAACGGTATGTTGAACTACCGATCCAAAAAAGCAACCACAAGATCACAGGATGTCGCAGGTATATCATCTGCTTAATAAATATGGGAATATGAACACGGTCTTTTGTTGTGATGCAGAATGATCGAGCTTTGTCTACCCATGTAGTGAGATGCATGGTGAGCTTTTGCAAATCCAAGAAAATGTGTTTCCTCGTAAAGGTTTGACCCTAAAAACGCCTCTTGCATCTTCTGAATGCTGGCATGTGATTTTTGAGGAAGGTCTGGCAAGTATAGTTATATAAATCCGTTTGATCCCCTATAGAGCTTCATCCACTCCGCAAACGGGCTGGGTTGAACACTCCGAAAGTGGGTGACCCTTCACCTCAACCACACCCAAACGGCGCATTGTGGAAACATGGTTTCATTCTGTTTCATTACTATATATGGGCAATTGTAGTTATATCATGTTATTCTATTCTATATTGTATATTATTTTTTGGTGACACTGCGACCATCCTCCCACCCCACCCCTAAAACCTCCTCTCCCACCCAAAAACCTCCCAAGCAAAAACCCACACCGCCCCGCAGACGACGTGCCTGGAGCTCCCATGGCCGGCCGCCAGTCCGGCTCCCGCGGTGGTGGCACACCCCACGGACCATAGCCACCTGGCCCGAGGAGGGGGGACTTGAGAAAGGGAGTGGGCCGAAGAAGCTTGGAGCTCGTGCGGCGCTTGGAAACGGGAAATGAATTCGAAGTCTGTGAGAAGTCTGGAGAAGTAAAGGTTGAACAAACAAAAGGTCACACATTCGCTCGCTTTGGAGTGGCCAGCGTTTAGCGTTTCGGCGGACCGTTTAGGACCTGTCAAAAGGGTGAAAGAACTGTGGACCGCTCCCAGAGAACCGCCTGGAGGGCGATACATGGGCCGCTGCGGTGGCCAGGCCATGTGGCCCGGGGGCGCGTACCTTGGGGCGGCTCGCGCGGGCTCGCGCGGCCGGGAGCCGGCGTGGCCGATGCTGAATTTGAGTGATAGGATTTCTCAAGCAAAACAAGTCATGTCTATATATAGTCATTATGACTGCGGTCTTTTTTGTCCTCTCACCAACAAGCATTGGAAGTGGACAATGATTCATGGACTACACTTCGACCTACACTTCTACTGCTCCTCTACCAATTTCATCCTCTTTTGGCCTCACGGTCCCAGCCCAGTTGCGGTGCCCACTCGCTCCGCCCGAAGGCCGCGGAGGAAGCGCGCTCCGGCTCCGACGGCCCCAGCCAGTCGCTGGGCGGCGCCTCGGCGTGGCGCACCTCGCGCCGCGAGGCGCGGTCGCGGTCGCGGCTGCGGCTGGCGCGGCGCCTGGGCGCGACTCGGGGTCAGTTGGAGTCAAAGCCGCAGAATGTGAAGGTTTTAGAGATTCCTTTGAGTTTCTTTGTCAGTTTGTGAGTTTCTTTTGAGTTTCTCAACTCCCTCTATCTATGGGCAAATGGTTCAGCTGCAAATTGGAGCTATGCTGCTACCATGGGATTTCTGTAAATCAAATGACACATGAGGGATAGTCGTGGAATTCATAATGTTTCATATGATTCCTTTTTGCCCTTATACATCCTTTTACCATGAGAAACGACTATATATGGTGTTTGACAAGTACTTGAATCGTTCACATCCTCTTACGCAAAAAACAAGAAGAACCCCCCTTGGCGCCAGGAAGATCGGTGAACACCGCGTCCATAACCACCGGTCGGCCGCTCCTGCGATGGGATTCGCCCTCTTCCCGCCGACGCCGCCTGACCCGAAACCGGCCACCGAAGGAGAGGATCCTCGCAGAATAGGCTTGTGATCAGTTGGAGGTCTGTGAGGATGTTTCTTCCAGCTTCAAGGTGGATAGCCCCAGTCCGTGGTTGTTTGTGTTGAACACTCGATAAAACTTGTATTAATAAAAACAATCATAGAAATGACAAGGGGATACGCTGCAGCCTCAGACCAACCTCCTCAACCGTTTCCGGCCAATTAGCAAACACTCCATGTATGGAATGTTATTATACCATACTAGGGTATTGGGTGGTTTCAATGGCAAATACCATTGCATTTTTACACTAGGCCGTGCTCGTGTGGATCCCTCCAAAATGGACTCCGGAGTTGGGCCCCGTCCTTCGTGTTGCTTTGGGTCAAGGCTAGCCAATGTCCACGTGATGAAGCCCATCAAAACACGCTCAATCTGATGTGTTTTTCCCTGTTCTCTCCCAGGTTTTTTCCCGGTTCTTTCTCCACCTTCCAGAACATCGATGAACATCATGATCCCTAGAGCTCCAAGTAGCTTCCAAGAAGGTGTGTGGAGTGGGTGCCAGGAGGGTCCGGTCGTACCGGTACTTTCAGGACGTGTCGTCACGCTTCTCCTCCTGTCGCTTTTCCCGGTTCCCGTTTACGCCGCCCATTGCCACCACCTCGACGGTGCCGCAGGCACCAGGGTCAAAGGAGTGGACTCCATCCTGGCGAGACACGCGACGCATGACCGCATGACCACATGACGACGGACAAACAGAATGGACTCAGCAGTTGAGTGCTTTTTTTTAAAGAGGGATTTCCATTGCATACAGCATGCAATGTAAGGATATGAAAAACATGGAAGGTTGAATGATGTTGAATGTCTGGGTTTGGACCTGCATGAGTTCTTGGGCTTTGAACGGTTCACGGACGACCCACCAGCCACCTGTTCTTTAGTCGCTTCAAAAACACCCAGCGACGCTCAGCGAAAGCAAACTGCTCACTCCGCTGGCAACCTGTCAGCGACAGGCGATGCAGTCCATATAGTAACCCTAGAAGTCCAAAGACTATATTTTGACCGGCTGAAGGAAAGGAAGTTCCCTTTCAGGTCCCCTAAAGACCATTCTTTTTATAGTCTTTGACTCCCAGGGGTAACTTCCCTTCCAAACTCACATGGGTCTCCGACTTTGATCCCCGCCCTCTCTCTGTGGGTCTTCGGGCTGTTCGGGTCGAAGGAAAAGTCCGCCATCCGAAACGACGAGTGGACGCCGAACACGACTCGTGCGGTTCGACGGAGTGGTGTGAAGCCTTTGGGCTGGTCACAAGGAGATGAGTTAGATGGTCATTGAGTCATGAAGGAAAAAGAAACACCCCTTTGAGGGTTGATATGCAGGTAATTACTCCAGCTCACAATCTCATGGAACTTGTACCTCGACCTGGACTTACTATATACATGGTAATTCTAAGTTGTGGCTAGAGGATGTGATCATCTATAGTATCTAGTATTCAGAAGGCATACCGCCCCAGGTCCAAAAGGTGCCAAGGACCAATCTCCCATTGCGTTCCTCCGCGTCGAAAAGCGGGAATGGCGCCGGATCTGCGTCTATGGCTTCGTTGCTCGACAATCTTCGGTCTATTGATGATCTGTATAGAGATATGTCACAGTGAAAAGGACTTCTTAGCTGCTTTCACAGCATGCAAAGTCTAGAGTCGCGTTGCCGCCTTTGGTGTCTAAGCTTCTTGGAATCTTGTGATTTAGGTAGCTTGGCTGCTGTGATAAGATTTCAAGTGCAAGGTTGTCCAGTGTTGTTTCATGATCTTTCGGTCTGGTCACTGAGACTCGGTGATTGCTTGGTCCGAGTGGGCGCCCGTGTTTTGTCCAAACACCATCGGTCTGAAGCCTGAAGCTCAAAAGCAGGTTTAAAATTCCGGTCCTCGGTTGTGGTGCCCGCAACGGCTCTTCAGTCTTTATGTGTCGGCAATGGCTGTGTCAGCAAGAAGATGGTGCAAGCTTCTGTCTGTAGATATCTAGTAAAGCCCAACTGCTTTGGCTCAAAAAGATCTTAAATTAACTTGACACAATTTTTGAAGGGGTCTCCAAACCGTGCAGGTCGATGCATGGCTAGCCTGCTAGGCCAAATACAAGCAAAACGAACGCAAACAAAACAAACGCAGCAACAACGCCAAATCACGATGTGCATGGAAAAGAGTGCCCCACTCCTATTCACTCATCTGGTGACGAAGACGAAGACTTATCCTCACATCCATGTCTTCAGGATGTCCAACCATGTCTTGCGCTTTTATTGAACCAAACTTCGAGGTCCACCAGGGTGCATGATCAGTGGTCATCCTCGCAACCACTGCTCCACCTGCAGACCGCTCTTTTTTCCACCGATTCGGGCGCCGACGGCGACTCGACGTCTTCGTCGGTCGAAGCGAAGGACACCTCGATTCGCGGCGCAGGGCCGCGCGTGCGCTGCGCGACGCGGTCGGTCGAGGTTGGAAGAATCTAGAGTACAAGAGGGATGCAGTAATCAGAAACCAAGCCTCCATTGGAGTACCAATAAACACATGTTAATTTAATATGTTGTTTGATGTTTGTTTAACAATAATTAATATAACCACTGGGATGATTGTCTCTAAGGTCAATATGATTGTGGTCAGGTCATGGTCCATGGTGGATAAATTATGATTATAGTAGTCTGCTCCTGGAGGCGGAACAATTAACAATACCCTAAAAATCACCCACATATCCTGGAGGCACGGTGGAAGGTACGCTCTACAAACCAGTGGTGTGAGCGCAATCCGGACTTTTGGTGTGCTGCTGATTCTGCTGGTGTTCTTGAAACTCCTTGCTCGCTTGGAGCGACATGTTGTAACATGTGGTAACTGGCTGCCCAAGCATGCCCAAGCTCTGTCTGTGCTCCCACCCACAAAAGCCGTACTCCCTACCCCCTTGTGCGATCTGACCCCATGTCCCCCCATCGAACAACGCCCTGGCCTTCTTGGGCGTGCTCGACGTGGAGGCGCTGCGCTTCAGCGAGGGCTTCCGGAAGGCCGTGCGCAGCTCGAAGTGCTCCGAGCGGCTCTCCTGTGCCTCACGGCTTGCGGGTTTAGCGGCTCTCCCCACGAGGCGAAGGCGGAGGGCGGAGGCCGGGGGGGAAGCCCGCGGGTCCCGGTCCGGGACGGTCCGGTGAACCCACGAAAGGGCGGGAGTGGCGAGAAGTGGTCCGGAGGACTTGCAGCTCAACTTGAAGCTACTAGTAACAAAGGGCATTACTACGAACGGAGCAAGGACGCTACGAACGTAGCTCCTGGCCTTGCTACTAGGAGCAAGGACGCTGCTATAGTAGCAAAGCTGCTCTTGTACAGATTATTTTCTCCGGCCCGTAACCAAATATATCTGAATCTGGGGGCAAAGATGGACAGTCAGTCAATCGAAAGGAGAGGGTGTGTCCCACACAATGTTCTTTGATGTTCTTTCTGTTTGGGGCACAAAGTGGAAAGCCCGAAAATGGGCGCGCATTTCGCGACCTCCACGCAATATGTAAAATGTGTGTTTGGACATAGTTTTTTTCGGGTCCCCTGTTCAAAGCCCCAAACCATGACCAATCACTTGTGTTGGGCAATTGTATGTTGGATCTGAGCGGGGTCCATGAGATGATGTTATGAGCGAGGGTCTGTAACGCTTTTCGCATAGCAATGCGTAGCACTCACTTTTGGACATGAGTTGTAGCGAAGGAAGGCAGTACAAAAAACATCAAAAAAAACACGGTTGGGGGATATATTTATATACATCATCCATGTTTTGCCCTAGACTCTATAGACCTGCTATAGACCCATTCTACAGGGTTTCTTCATCTCCTCTGAGGCTCTTAAACACCCGATCTTGTGAAGGCAGGCTTCAAGATTCAAGGTCGACCAGTCGAGCACGGTTGGACTGCAGGACACCTACAAATCGGGACACCCGGTTCCAAACGGAGGATCAGACAAATGGCTAGGTCACATCTCACTTCAAAACATCTGAAAAGTGAAAAGCCACCCCACTCACATCTCGGCACTCCATGTATGCCATATATGCCACACATGGAGTGTTTGGGTCAGTGACTCCTGGAAGAGAAATCCGAACGACCAATCGTTCCGACCGTCGACCGCTCGACACACCCGCCTCGCCGGTGATGACTCGCAGGCGCTTGCGCCAGGCGCCCACGGCCACGACGTGTTCCTTCCAACCTCAGCAAAAGCTAGTAGTAATGAGCTTCCCAGGGCAGATCCAGCGCAAAAATCTCCCTTTATTCTATCAGATTGTGTTTTTCCTGATTGCTTGTCTTCTTCTTGTTGTGCATTCTTATGCTTCTTCTTCTTCTTGTTTTTCTTCTTCTTCTTCCTCTTCTTCTTGTTGTTTGTGTTTCATTTTTCTTGTCTTGCTTCTTCTTCTGTTTCCTGCTCTCTGCTTGTTTCTTCTTTTTCCTGCTTGCTTCTCTTGTTAATTATTAAGAAACCTAGCGCCAATCTAGCGCTGCCTTGCTGTATCACCATAGTCTGCTGGGGGCCCGCTTCTAAACGAAAACTTAAAAACGAACCTCCAGCCTTAAAAGTCTACATTTATCTATTTGTTTTTGAGTAGGGCCTTTTTGAGCGCAGTCCATATGCCGATCCTTCTGACATCGCCTCCGACACCACCATCGGTTTTCATGTAAACCACTCCCCATATCTCCACATCAATACACATCACCATCTGCTGCCGTGGGCACTTTGGAAGCACTGCCGCCAGGTGGTCTGTGCGTCCCGCATGCAGCTCAGCACGTTCAAGCAGCTGTCCACCGGCACGAGGCCGCGGCCTGGGCCGGTGGGCAGGTCTGTGGGTCGTCCAGATGTTCTAGAGTACGAAGATGATGGAGTCTGAGGTGAAAACAAGTATGACCATCAACACATATCAACACATTCTCCATATTTGGCCATGATGAACCATGAGAAACCATGGACAAAAAAGGAAGAACCATGATCACAATGATAAAACCATGCGCCGATGGCTGGGCCTGGCAAATAGGCCCAGGAAGACTTCAGCGGCAAGCAGTAGAAAAGGCTGCTGCCATTCTCTGCGCGCCTGACGGGCAGAAAAAGAATTAGAGAATGGGCTGAGCCTGTTGAGTCTGTCTCAAAAGAGGGAGGCTGTTTGGGCATCCGAACTCTTTCCCAAAGGTTTCACTTCCCTTTCGTGGCAGAGTGCAGTGTTTGACAAACCCCTCCCAGAATCTTCACACCTCCAACATCAAACGCTCAGCTTCCGCAAGTTCGTGGATTTGGGGAGGAAGGATCTCCATCTGAAATGGCTCCTCCTGTCCAACGGCTCTGCCGTGGAGTTCGAACGCCACCGGTTTTCGCGGTGTTGGCCGTGTTGTCTCTCCAAAGTTTACGGGACGCCCAAAGACATTGGCCAGGCCAGGGCCCTGGGTTCAGGGTGCGAGCGGTGCTTCAGCCTGACCAAACTCGGAGACTGGGACTGGTGGGGCGAATCTCGAGTGAACGGCTATCGACCAGGCGTCGCAACGCGCGGTGCTCCTGGTTTTTGACACGATGGTCCCGCGGAAACGATCGATCCCACCACTGAACTCTCGCCAGTCACAGACGAACGCCGCCATTTACACCGCGAAGGATGGATTGGCGGAACCTGCCCGCGCCGGTCGACGCTCCCGGTCGAAGACCGGGGACCTTCGGTGGGTCGTGGCCTCCGCAGCCAGGTGGAGCTGCACGCAGCATGGGTGGCCCAGCCCGATTCCGAGGCCTAGGTGGGGAAGCGAAACGAGGAATGTACTTTTTGCCCCCGTCGTCCAAATGTCCTGCGGAGGATCATATTGACTCTAATAAAGGTACTGGGTTGTAGAGGATCATGGTCGAAACCATGAGATATTATGAGATATTTTTCAGGGTCCATGTTCGTCTACAGGGGGCGACCTTCACTTCCTGAGACCCGGGGGGGGGTCCCCCGAGACCCGAACTCTGGGCTGGGCCATTCTGGGCCCAGATTTGGCGCTGGGTTCGATGTGGCGCCATTTTTCTTTGAGACCTGGAGAAGGCCAGCTGTGCTGGTCTTGTGTGGAGCAACAAACTCCATGCCCGCACGAGAACCGGCGCCCGTGGATGTGGACGGGTGATTCGGGCTTTGGAGTGATGGTCTGACATAGGCGAATAGACCCGGTGAGGCGTGATATGCTATGAATATGAATATGATATCAGGAGTCGTGTATAGTCGTGTTATTTACTTATTATGATGCTGTTTTTGTGGTGCGGGCTTAAATTTTAAAGACCCATGTATGGAATATTCATCCGCATTGACCCCTTTTCAATCACCCCAATGTAGGAGAAACATATTCGATACATGGAGTATCTGGGAGATACACACGCTTCTTCAATCCTCATTCCAAGCAACCAGCCAGCCATCTTCCGGAGGGGCCAGGAGGGCTTGATGATCCTGCCCGGGTGTGGTGCAAACGTGTTCCTTCAGCAGCAGCTTAAGCAGTGTTTCAGCCCTTAATGTGTGATTCTATGTGATTCTGGTCCTGACTTGACATGAACCTATTTCCCCGTTGGCAGGATCGGTGGGCTTCAATATTTGTTCGTTTCCCAAGAA